ATGTGTTCAGGTGTTGTTCTTCATGTGTTCAGGTGTTGTGGTGTTCAGGTGTTCAGGTGTTGTGGTGTTCGTATTCATGTGTTGTGGTGTTCAGGTGTTGTGGTGTTCGTATTCATGTGTTGTGGTGTTCGTGTTGTGGTGTTTATGTGTTCAGGTGTTGTTCTTCATGTGTTCATGTGTTGTGTTGTTCATGTGTTCAGGTGTTGTGGTGTTCATGTGTTGTGGTGTTCATGTGTTCAGGTGTTGTTGTTCATGTGTTCATGTGTTGTGTTGTTGTTCATGTGTTCATGTGTTGTGGTGTTCATGTGTTGTGGTGTTCATGTGTTGTGGTGTTCAGGACAGGTGTTGTGGTGTTTGTGTTCATGTGTTGTGTTGTTCTTCATGTGTTCATGTGTTGTGGTGTTCATATGTTCATGTGTTCATGTGTTGTGGTGTTCATGTGTTGTGGTGTTCATGTGTTGTGGTGTTCATGTGTTCATGTGTTGTGGTGTTCATGTGTTCATGTGTTGTGGTGTTCATATGTTCATGTGTTCATGTGTTGTGGTGTTCATGTGTTGTGGTGTTCATGTGTTGTGGTGTTCATGTGTTGTGGTGTTCATGTGTTCATGTGTTGTGGTGTTCATGTGTTGTGGTGTTCATGTGTTGTGGTGTTCATGTGTTGTGTTGTTCATGTGTTGTGGTGTTCATGTGTTGTGGTGTTCAGGTGTTGTGGTGTTTGTGTTCATGTGTTGTGGTGTTCATGTGTTCATGTGTTCATGTGTTGTGGTGTTCATGTGTTCATGTGTTGTGGTGTTCATGTGTTCAGGTGTTGTGGTGTTCATGTGTTGTGGTGTTCAGGTGTTGTGGTGTTCGTATTCATGTGTTGTGGTGTTCGTATTCATGTGTTGTGGTGTTCAGGTGTTGTGGTGTTCGTATTCATGTGTTGTGGTGTTCGTGTTGTGGTGTTTATGTGTTCATGTGTTGTTCTTCATGTGTTCATGTGTTGTGTTGTTGTTCATGTGTTCAGGTGTTGTGGTGTTCATGTGTTGTGGTGTTCATGTGTTGTGGTGTTCATGTGTTGTGTATGGCGCTCGAAATGTTCCATTCGGCGACGAGACTGACAAGCACGACAGATAACACACGTGTATACGTGCGTGTACGTCTCCATTTGTTTTATATGGAGACGTACACGCAAAATTCACGTCACGTAGACACGTCAATAACGTGTAGCTGTTGATCTATGCAGACGTCACGGCGGCGTCACGTTAGAAGTTAACGTGTGGATTACGTCTTAACGTCTGCACGTCTGCCCGTCTGCACGTCTGCACGTCTGCAACGATCTAAGTTTACAAACGTGACTACGTGCGTCTGCCATAAGTCTGGAGATATCTATTTTTCCTGATAGATCTTTTTCCTCATAGATTTACTGTTATGAGAAAAATACCAAGTAAAACACACATTTGTAAATATTTCTTTTAATGTTTCTGTAATGAGCAGTCTTTAGCTTTTAAAAAAAGAATCATTAGAAAACCAGAATGCCTGTAAATAAACAATATGTTAATGACATTTCATACAATAAAAAAATAGTTCCAAACAGCACCACAGCAGAACAATTGCAATTGTCTAAAATGAGTAGTTGTGTGGATATTAAATATATAGCCTCTTTGTGTTTTTGAAAGAATAGGTTGAACATTAACCAGTAATGTCAATAGAACAGTGCTTGCCGCCATCTACTGGCGGTTTTATATATTTATATTTAGTAGTTTCATATTTGTTTGGCCGAGCTCCTTTCATTTCGGCATTTACAACTCGGTTTAAATGAGCTTGCTAGAAGTTAGAACGATTTTTTATAACATAGAAATTCAGAATATAATTCCATCCACTGCCACTCTACTATATATATATTTTTTGTATTATTATTAAATATCCTATTGCCTATTCCCATGCATGCTCGTGCATAATTGATACAAAACGAAATTAACTTAAAGAAAGTCTTTCTACAAAACAAAACTTAATGAAGTGGTCAAAATCATGTCTGACCCACTTCGTGTCTCCCGTCATATTTCGCATCCTATGATGTTGCTCTTACTCATGCTGTTCACTGTTCATAATCAACATAAATGAAATAAAATAACAAAAGCCAATTATAATATTTAAACAAATGTGAAACTGGCAAAGTGCGGATATTGAGCGGACAGTCACGGTGAAAAGTAACTTGAAACTTGTTTTTAAATGGGAAGCGCGTCTTGGTTCACCCTCCGCCTGTCAGAAAATTAATATGCTTTATTACACAAAACGAAACGTTGAAACATTATTATATTTATAAATGACTATATGCTACAGATTGGGGCTGCACGATATTGAAGAAAAATGCGAAATTGTATCTTTAAAATAGGCTATATTTAAAATTATATAGCCTAACCCATATAGGCCTACGTGTTTCACAATCTTTTTGTGCCAAGAAAACATCGCTATAACTTCTATAAAGTGAACATCAGAGTGTTTTACAATAAGAAGCACTATTTTAACATCAATGTAAACCACGGGCTTTGTTCAGGTTATCCTACATTAGGGATATTTAACAACAGAAACTGAATCAAATGTAAAAAATTAAAATAAAATAAAAAAACACATTAGTTTTCACAATTAAATATAGGCCTATACTGATTATTATTAAAGCTACAAAAAGTTATTCAGCCAAGAGCAGTGAGTGATTTTCTCTTGTCTTTTGCTCATGAGTATTGCAAGCCGTTGCGATATGCATATTGCGAAATAGTACATTTGCGATATTTCGATATATTGTGCAGCCCTTCTACATATGTAGGCTTCATATTTAATTGCTATTTGGTATGTATTGTTTTTATCATTGTGTTGTTGGAGGAATTGAAACGTTTTTGTTACTCATTTTTATGAAGTAGGCAATATGTAGCAGGCTATGCAAAAGGATTGTGGTCTAGTTTGTATGATGGACTGTCTAGCTACTTCAGTAGGCCTAATAATACAGGATCTTATTGTTTTGGTGAGAAATCTGTTTCTCAGATCATAATAAAAAAAATGCTTGCCCCCCTATATGAAAACGAAATGAGTAGCTATACAACATAGTCCTACCAACGATAGAAAACCAGAACCCTCAATCGGATCGCCATTCGGATCGACAATCTATAGGCCTACGTCTTTCCATCTACTTCATAAAATGGGCTGAACTTTGAGGAAAAGGCTGGGGCTGATTATAATATTATACAAAACGCCGCTTTTTACGCTGTCTTTGTCAGACAGAAGCGCCGCAGATTACGGCGCACTATGGATGGCCTGCGGCGTCAGAAACGGCGTCATTGGCTGGATAAAAAAAAAAAGCTGAATGGAGATAGCTCCAGACGGGCAGACGGGCAGACGTGTAGACGTTAAGACGTGCAGGCGGGCAGACGTTAAGACGTGCAGGCGGGCAGACGTGCAGACGTTAATCACACACGCACGTTATCACGTCTTTAAGCTTTGTTAGGAATCAAATGACACAAAGCGAGCGCCATATTGTGGTGTTCAGGACAGGTGTTGTGGTGTTTGTGTTCATGTGTTGTGTTGTTCTTCATGTGTTCATGTGTTGTGGTGTTCATATGTTCATGTGTTCATGTGTTGTGGTGTTCATATGTTCATGTGTTCATGTGTTGTGGTGTTCATGTGTTGTGGTGTTCATGTGTTGTGGTGTTCATGTGTTGTGGTGTTCATGTGTTGTGGTGTTCATGTGTTCATGTGTTGTGGTGTTCATATGTTCATGTGTTCATGTGTTGTGGTGTTCATGTGTTGTGGTGTTCATGTGTTCATGTGTTGTGGTGTTCATGTGTTGTGGTGTTCATGTGTTCATGTGTTGTGGTGTTCATATGTTCATGTGTTCATGTGTTGTGGTGTTCATGTGTTGTGGTGTTCATGTGTTCATGTGTTGTGGTGTTCATGTGTTGTGGTGTTCATATGTTCATGTGTTCATGTGTTGTGGTGTTCATGTGTTGTGGTGTTCATGTGTTGTGGTGTTCAGGTGTTGTGGTGTTTGTGTTCATGTGTTGTGGTGTTCATGTGTTCATGTGTTGTGGTGTACATGTGTTCATGTGTTGTGGTGTTCATGTGTTGTGGTGTTCATGTGTTGTGGTGTTCATGTGTTGTGGTGTTCAGGTGTTGTGGTGTTCATGTGTTGTGGTGTTTGTGTTCATGTGTTGTGTTGTTCATGTGTTCATGTGTTCATGTGTTCAGGTGTTGTGGTGTTGTGGTGTTCATGTGTTGTGGTGTTGTGGTGTTCATGTGTTGTGGTGTTCATGTGTTGTGGTGTTCATGTGTTGTGGTGTTCATGTGTTGTGGTGTTCAGGTGTTGTGGTGTTCATGTGTTGTGGTGTTTGTGTTCATGTGTTGTGTTGTTCATGTGTTCATGTGTTCATGTGTTCAGGTGTTGTGGTGTTGTGGTGTTCATGTGTTCAGGTGTTGTGGTGTTCATGTGTTGTGGTGTTCATGTGTTGTGGTGTTCAGGTGTTGTGGTGTTCATGTGTTGTGGTGTTCATGTGTTGTGGTGTTCAGGTGTTGTGGTGTTCAGGTGTTGTGGTGTTTGTGTTCATGTGTTGTGTTGTTCATGTGTTCATGTGTTCAGGTGTTCATGTGTTGTGGTGTTCAGGTGTTGTGGTGTTCATGTGTTGTGGTGTTCAGGTGTTGTGGTGTTCAGGTGTTGTGGTGTTTGTGTTCAGGTGTTGTGGTGTTCATGTGTTGTGGTGTTCATGTGTTGTGGTGTTCAGGTGTTGTGGTGTTCAGGTGTTGTGGTGTTTGTGTTCAGGTGTTGTGGTGTTCATGTCTTGTGGTGTTGTGGTGTTCTTCATGTGTTCATGTGTTGTGGTGTTCAGGTGTTGTGGTGTTCATGTGTTGTGGTGTTCATGTGTTGTGGTGTTCATGTGTTGTGGTGTTCATGTGTTGTGGTGTTCATGTGTTGTGGTGTTCATGTATTCAGGTGTTGTGTTCTTCACGTGTTCAGATGTTCATCATGTGTTCAGGTGTGGGGGGCTTCAGGACGTGTTACCAGGAGATGCTGAAGGTGGTGAAGGGCTTCATCAAACAGCCTCTCGAGCTGCAGGACAGCGCCAGCTTCTACGCCTTCTCTTATTACTTTGATCACGCTGTGGAAGCCGGACTCATCGGTAAGACCATCAAATATCTTCCAAAGGAAAAAGCATAAAATGTGTTGCGTACCTTGTGTACCTGTGTGTGTCTGTCTGTGTGTGTCTGTCTGTGTGTGTCTGTCTGTGTGTGTCTGTCTGTCTGTGTGTGTGTGTGTGTGTGTGTGTGTGTGTGTGTGTGTGTGTGTGTCTGTCTGTCTGTGTGTGTGTGTGTGTGTGTGTCTGTCTGTGTGTGTGTGTGTGTGTGTCTGTCTGTCTGTCTGTGTGTGTCTGTCTGTGTGTGTCTGTCTGTGTGTGTCTGTGTGTGTGTGTCTGTCTGTGTGTGTAAGTAAGTAAGTACCTGGCTATGTTATTTGATAGTCAATAAACTTTTAAGCTACATATTGATAAACTACTTTGTAAACTTAAACTTAAATTGGGTTTTTATTTCAGAAACAGATTTTCTTTTATTTTAGTGCAAGGAAATATTTGGTATCTCCAATCTTTTTAACACTATTGTGATTATGGAGATGTGCTTTATATGAATACCCCAGTTACTTATTTAAAAAATTGATACCGTCTATCATAGCGCTTTACGTTTCATTACTGGCTATAGTTATCAAGCGCATCATTGCAGTTTATATGATAAAGCTGAGTTGCCATCTCTGTATACTCGAAGTTTTACTTGGTATTGTTTTATTTATAAGTCTATTTGTGGTTTAATTCCATCTTATTTGTCTCTCTGCGTTTCTCATACAAATGTTTGCTACAATCTTCGTTCTAAAGCTTTGTTATTTAAAGTTAAAGTTCCTCGGGTTCGAACAGAGCTAGGAAAAACAGGCTTTAAATATAACGCTTCTTCTGATTGGAATAATTTATAAAACATCTTAAAGCTGACTATACTTCCATCACTAAACGAGTTTAAGTTACTTTTAACAGATTGTGTGTTTATCCTTTGGTAAATTGCTGTTGTGATTGTGTTTTGATGTGTGTTTGTATGCATGTGTGTTATTGTGGCTGCTTTCTTGGCCAGGGCACTCTTGTTAAGAGAGTTTAATCTCAATGAGTTTTTAACCTGGTATAATAAAGAATGAGTTAAATAAGCTTTTTGATTACAAACTTGTTTGTTTTTTTATTTCCACCCACAGTACTTAAAATCCTTTACCTAATTTGGTCAAAAAAGACCCGCCTTTTAAAAATATCTTGTTAATCTCTGGTTATGCTATTTTATCACCAAATATTGGATTTATATTTTTTAAAATAGCATAACCAGAGATTTACAAGGCATTTTTAAAAGGCGGGTCATTTTTGACCCGGAACACCAAAAGTGTATCAAGGTGAGAAAAAACGCACAAAACCCCCCAAAAATGATTAAAAAGAAAAAAATGTTTTATTAAGATTGATCGTAGGCCTCATTAATCGGAGTTTTTTGGAGTTTAATAAACTTTTTTTTTAAAGTTCAGATCAATGAGGCCTACGATCAATCAGATCCATAAAGAGATACGAAACATGTGCCAACTGAAGGAAAACAAGTTGATAAAAAGATTAAATCCAATATTTGGTGATAAATTAGCATAACCAGAGACTTACAAGACATTTTAAAAAGGCAGGTCATTTTTGACCCGGAATACCCCAAGTGTAGCAAGGTGGGAAAAAACACACAGAAAAGTAAAAAAATTATTAAAAACAACAAAAAATGTATTAAGAAAATGTATGTCAGTAAGTTTGTACAATATCTTCAAGAAAAAAGTAAATCACAACACAACATACCTGCATTAAGCACTTATTTAATAAATGTCTCACTTTAACAGTTTCTGGTTTTTGTCTGTTTTTGCTGATAATGAATCTCAGATGAAACCAGAGGAGGAGCCGTGAAGATCCGAGAATTTAGGAAACGAGCGAAAGAGGGTGAGCTTTACGTTTAATCTTTATTTACATGTTCTCATCTTATATTTGAGCATGTTGACAGATATGTACAATATAAGTCATATTATACAACTCCAAACTGAAAATGAACTCACTTGTTGCAGTGTGTAACCGAGCGTCGAAGCGCAGTCAGCCCAATGAGTTCCTCTGTATGGATCTCACGTACATCATCTGTCTGCTGAAAGACGGCTTTGGTTTTAAAGAAAGCACCGTTCTGCAGGTATGTCAGTGTTTCTGCCGTGTTTAATCTCCTTGAGGTTAGATGGTTAATGCCAATGGTTGTGTTTGCACAGCTAACCAAGAAGGTGAAGAACGTGGAAACCAGCTGGGCTTTGGGTGCCACCATCGACCACTTCCAGAAGTTCAGGATTCATTAAAAACCAGCCATAAACACTTCCAGAAGTTCAGGATTCATTAAAAACCAGCCATAAACCACTTCCAGAAGTTCAGGATTCATTAAGAACCAGCCATAAACCATTTCCAGAAGTTCAGGATTCATTAAGAACCAGCCATAAACCACTTCCAGAAGTTCAGGATTTATTAAGAACCAGCCGTAAACCACTTTCAGAAGTTCAGGATTCATTAAGAACCAGCCGTAAACCACTTCCAGAAGTTCAGGATTCATTAAAAACCAGCCGTAAACCACTTCCAGAAGTTCAGGATTCATTAAGAACCAGCCGTAAACCACTTCCAGAAGTTCAGGATTCATTAAAAACCAGCCATAAACACTTCCAGAAGTTCAGGATTCATTAAAAACCAGCCGTAAACCACTTCCAGAAGTTCAGTATTCATTAAGAACCAGCGGTAAACACTTCCAGAAGTTCAGGATTCATTAAGAACCAGCCATAAACCACTTCCAGAAGTTCAGGATTCATTAAGAACCAGCCATAAACCATTTTCAGAAGTTCAGGATTCATTAAGAACCAGCCATAAACCACTTCCAGAAGTTCAGGATTTATTAAGAACCAGCCGTAAACCACTTCCAGAAGTTCAGGATTCATTAAAAACCAGCCATAAACCACTTCCAGAAGTTCAGGATTCATTAAGAACCAGCCATAAACCACTTCCAGAAGTTCAGGATTCATTAAGAACCAGCCATAAACCACTTCCAGAAGTTCAGGATTTATTAAGAACCAGCCGTAAACCACTTCCAGAAGTTCAGGATTCATTAAGAACCAGCCGTAAACCACTTCCAGAAGTTCAGGATTCATTAAAAACCAGCCGTAAACCACTTCCAGAAGTTCAGGATTCATTAAGAACCAGCCGTAAACCACTTCCAGAAGTTCAGGATTCATTAAAAACCAGCCATAAACACTTCCAGAAGTTCAGGATTCATTAAAAACCAGCCGTAAACCACTTCCAGAAGTTCAGGATTCATTAAGAACCAGCCGTAAACCACTTCCAGAAGTTCAGGATTCATTAAGAACCAGCCATAAACCACTTCCAGAAGTTCAGGATTCATTAAGAACCAGCCGTAAACCACTTCCAGAAGTTCAGGATTCATTAAGAACCAGCCGTAAACCACTTCCAGAAGTTCAGGATTCATTAAGAACCAGCCATAAACCACTTCCAGAAGTTCAGGATTCATTAAGAACCAGCCATAAACCACTTCCAGAAGTTCAGGATTCATTAAGAACCAGCCATAAACCATTTCCAGAAGTTCAGGATTCATTAAGAACCAGCCATAAACCACTTCCAGAAGTTCAGGATTCATTAAGAACCAGCCGTAAACCACTTCCAGAAGTTCAGGATTCATTAAAAACCAGCCATAAACCACTTCCAGAAGTTCAGTATTCATTAAGAACCAGCCGTAAACCACTTCCAGAAGTTCAGGATTCATTAAGAACCAGCCGTAAACCACTTCCAGAAGTTCAGGATTCATTAAAAACCAGCCGTAAACCACTTCCAGAAGTTCAGGATTCATTAAGAACCAGCCGTAAACCACTTCCAGAAGTTCAGGATTCATTAAAAACCAGCCATAAACACTTCCAGAAGTTCAGGATTCATTAAGAACCAGCCATAAACCACTTCCAGAAGTTCAGGATTCATTAAGAACCAGCCGTAAACCACTTCCAGAAGTTCAGTATTCATTAAGAACCAGCCGTAAACCCCTTCCAGAAGTTCAGGATTCATTAAGAACCAGCCATAAACCACTTCCAGAAGTTCAGGATTCATTAAGAACCAGCCATAAACCACTTCCAGAAGTTCAGGATTCATTAAAAACCAGCCATAAACCACTTCTAGAAGTTCAGTATTCATTAAGAACCAGCCGTAAACCACTTCCAGAAGTTCAGGATTCATTAAAAACCAGCCGTAAACCACTTCCAGAAGTTCAGGATTCATTAAGAACCAGCCGTAAACCACTTCCAGAAGTTCAGGATTCATTAAAAACCAGCCATAAACACTTCCAGAAGTTCAGGATTCATTAAGAACCAGCCGTAAACCACTTCCAGAAGTTCAGGATTCATTAAGAACCAGCCGTAAACCCCTTCCAGAAGTTCAGGATTCATTAAGAACCAGCCATAAACCACTTCCAGAAGTTCAGGATTCATTAAGAACCAGCCATAAACCACTTCCAGAAGTTCAGGATTCATTAAGAACCAGCCATAAACCACTTCCAGAAGTTCAGGATTCATTAAGAACCAGCCATAAACCACTTCCAGAAGTTCAGGATTCATTAAGAACCAGCCATAAACCACTTCCAGAAGTTCAGGATTCATTAAAAACCAGCCATAAACACTTCCAGAAGTTCAGGATTCATTAAGAACCAGCCGTAAACCACTTCCAGAAGTTCAGTATTCATTAAGAACCAGCCGTAAACCCCTTCCAGAAGTTCAGGATTCATTAAGAACCAGCCATAAACCACTTCCAGAAGTTCAGGATTCATTAAGAACCAGCCGTAAACCACTTCCAGAAGTTCAGGATTCATTAAAAACCAGCCATAAACCACTTCCAGAAGTTCAGGATTCATTAAGAACCAGCCATAAACCATTTCCAGAAGTTCAGGATTCATTAAGAACCAGCCATAAACCACTTCCAGAAGTTCAGGATTCATTAAGAACCAGCCGTAAACCACTTCCAGAAGTTCAGGATTCATTAAAAACCAGCCATAAACCACTTCTAGAAGTTCAGTATTCATTAAGAACCAGCCGTAAACCACTTCCAGAAGTTCAGGATTCATTAAAAACCAGCCGTAAACCACTTCCAGAAGTTCAGGATTCATTAAGAACCAGCCGTAAACCACTTCCAGAAGTTCAGGATTCATTAAAAACCAGCCATAAACACTTCCAGAAGTTCAGGATTCATTAAGAACCAGCCGTAAACCACTTCCAGAAGTTCAGGATTCATTAAGAACCAGCCGTAAACCCCTTCCAGAAGTTCAGGATTCATTAAGAACCAGCCATAAACCACTTCCAGAAGTTCAGGATTCATTAAGAACCAGCCATAAACCACTTCCAGAAGTTCAGGATTCATTAAGAACCAGCCATAAACCACTTCCAGAAGTTCAGGATTCATTAAGAACCAGCCATAAACCACTTCCAGAAGTTCAGGATTCATTAAGAACCAGCCATAAACCACTTCCAGAAGTTCAGGATTCATTAAAAACCAGCCATAAACACTTCCAGAAGTTCAGGATTCATTAAGAACCAGCCGTAAACCACTTCCAGAAGTTCAGTATTCATTAAGAACCAGCCGTAAACCCCTTCCAGAAGTTCAGGATTCATTAAGAACCAGCCATAAACCACTTCCAGAAGTTCAGGATTCATTAAGAACCAGCCGTAAACCACTTCCAGAAGTTCAGGATTCATTAAGAACCAGCCCTAAACCACTTCCAGAAGTTCAGGATTCATTAAGAACCAGCCGTAAACCACTTCCAGAAGTTCAGGATTCATTAAGAACCAGCCCTAAACCACTTCCAGAAGTTCAGGATTCATTAAGAACCAGCCGTAAACCACTTCCAGAAGTTCAGGATTCATTAAGAACCAGCCGTAAACCACTTCCAGAAGTTCAGGATTTGTTGGGAATGATTGAGAAATGATCTGATGGTGTGGTGCTGATGCTAATGTTTGATGAGATGAGAGAGCATTAGCTTCTGGCGGTGCGATGCTATGCTAGCACTACAGACGCGCGACGCTTTCAGGAGTTCTGGAAACTCATCGTTTACATTACAAAGCTCATGTTGTAATGTTTGCATCAGTCTGAGCATTTCTTATGGTTTGTTTCTTCTATTAAAAAATGTAACATGCTAATGAATGTTTGTCTTAATTAAAGAATTAAACAATCTCTTGACTTGTATCTCCTGACTGTGTCAACCACACACAACAGCAACTGAACGTCACATCCATCGCGCGCACATTTCACTACACAAGACTTAACACGGCCTTCACGCGCGATCGGAATTATCATAAATACGAGTTTCCTAGTTGGAAATTGGACATGAACGCCCTCAAGTCGTATTTACTACTGAGAAACACTCAGATCATTTTGACTCGAGTTTCTGAGTTGGGCGAGTCATAAACGTTCAGCATGGCGGAGGAGCATCGTTCTGATTGCGGCTGTGACTGACATTCTTTATTAGTTTTTCCACAACAGCCGCATCATCTTCTATTGTTGTTAAAGTCGTGCATATTTACATGTATGAATAATCATTTGAAGCATTTGTATGTTTTATACACAGTGATGCTGCCTTCACATGCTATCAGAATTATCATAAGTTTCCTACTCGAAATTCGGAATTCCAAGTCGGAAATTCCCAGTTGAAAATTCCAAGTCGGAAATTCCCAGTTGGAAATTCCAAGTCGGAAATTCCCAGTTGGAAATTCCAAGTCGGAAATTCCCAGTTGGAAATTCCCAGTTGGAAATTCCAAGTCGGAAATATCCGGTTGGAAATTCCAAGTCGGAAATTCCCGGTTGGAAATTCCAAGTCGGAAATTCCCAATTGGAATGTCCAACTTGGAAATTCCTAGTCAGAAATTCCCAGTTGAAAATTCCTAGTCAGAAATTCCCAGTTGAAAATTCCCAGTCGGAAATTCCCAGTTGGAATGTCCGACTTGGAAATTCCTAGTCAGAAATTCCCAGTTGAAAATTCCAAGTAAGAAATTCCCAGTTGAAAATTCCAAGTCGGAAATTCCCAGTTGGAAATTCTAAGTTGGAAATTCCCAGTTGAAAATTCTAAGTCGGAAATTTCCAGTTGGAAATTCTAAGTTGTGAATTCCTAGTCGTAAATTCCCAGTTGGGAATTACTAGTCGAAAATTCTCAGTTGGGAATTCTAAATCGGAAATTCCCAGTTGAAAATTCCAAGTCGGAAATTCCCAGTTGAAAATTCCAAGTCAGTAAAATTCCCAGTTGAAAACTCCTAGTCGGAAATTCCCAGTTGGAAATTCCAAGTCGGAAATTCCCAGTTG